GACCCAGCCGAGGCTCGAACTAGCGACCTTCTTGCTGTGAGGCGACAGCACTACCTACTGCGCCACTGCGTCACCTGACAACCACAAGTGCAACCACTTAACCTTAAAAAATAGTAAATCCAATGAATTATTTTTTGTGTGTGGTCAGAATAGTTTTGCTGTTTCAAATTTTAAAAAAAAAGTTGTTAAATTGTCGTTTTTAATTTCATATTTTGTCTATTTTTGACTTTTTACAAATGCAACTTAAATAAAAATGTTTAAGTCTTGCAACAAAATTATACAAAGTACGTCCAACAATGGGTGCTACAAAATAATTTAGTTTTTATTTTGTTAATCACTTAATCATGAAATTAGCATTATAACATAATTGTGTATACATAATAGTAATAATAATAATTGCGGCGCGGTGGCTCAGTGGTTAGCACTGTTGCCCCACTGCAAGAAGGTCACTGGTTCAGTGACCACTGGTCAGTTGGCATTTTTGTGTGGAGTTTGCATGTTCTCCCCGTGTACGTGTGGATTTTCTCTTGGTGCTCCGGTTTCCCCCACAGTCTAAAGACATGTGCTTTAAGTGAATTAAATAAGCTAAATTGTCCGTAATGTATGTGTTAGAATGCAACTGTGTGTGGGTCTTTCCCAGTATTGGGTTGCTGCTAAAAGGGCATCCGCTTGGTAAAATATATGCTGGATAAGTTGGCGGTTCAATCTGCAGTGGTGACCCCTGATTAATAAAGTGACTAAGCCAAAAAGAAAATGAATAAATATTTGAATAATGATATAACCTACTATTTAATTATTTTATTTATGTGTAATTTAATCCAATTGAGACACCAAGTTTGATGTCTTGTTGTTGTTTTTGTTATTATTATTATTGTTGTTGTTGTTGCTGTTGTTTGTGAATAATTAATTAATTATTATTAATATCATTATTGTTAATATCATTTTTATTAATATCATTATTACTGTCTGTACACGTTTGTCACAAATGTAATAAAAAATTTTCAGAATCTCAATTATTTCAGATTTTTTCATATCAAATAATTAATTTATCATTTATTTTAATAATTTAACAATTTATTAAAAAAAAAAAAAAAATATTTTTAAACAGCTAAAACTGCTTTCTCTTTAGACCCTTAAATTAGTATTATTTTCTCTAGTACTTCTCATTGGTCTAAGACTTTTGAACCTTGCTGCATGAGTGCCAGAAAACATGACATAGACCTTGGCCACATTTCCTTTCTTGTGATTATTATCATAGTTTTCTGTCTTTTTACTGCTCTCTTTCTCCTTAAATCATTGTCACTACATCTGTGGATTGATGGCGGCATGCAGTTCCTGATTATCATCTAACATTTAACTGCTGTTCATCAGTTTATTGTGATTTTGTGTTTAGTGGCATTGCATGCTGTTGTAAGTCTGTGGAATTATTTGGTGGGGGGACATTAGGACATAAGGACGTACATGTAGCCAGGGACAGTAAAAAGGACAGATGAGTCATAGAAAAGGGAACAGGAGTAACTGTAACTCAGTATGGTGTTTGTAAGATGTACTGCTTATTAGTGACATTTGTCGTTTTCATAGATTTTGTTTCCTAATCAAGTTTGCAAGTGTGATCTGATCTGGCAATGCTAAATTTATGATGACATTGTTGTCGGATTTGAATGTAATATAATATTTTTGCAACATAATCTTGACATTTGGTCTTGCTCATTCATATACAGTACATACAGTACAGTTTGTATTATTCTACACTGCCACTCAGAATTTAGTTTTTGAAAGAAGTCTCTGATGTTCTAATATAAAGGACAGGTATATATTTTAAAAATATATACCATTGTTTGCTCAACTTGTTACACCCTTGTATCATTTTATTCTTCTTCCATAAGTAAAAGAAGAAAACATAAAAAATGCTGTTAATCAAAATGTTAATGGTAACAATAAAATACTACACAAGTCAGTGGTAACATTAGCTGCGGTGTTCATTTTGTCAACAAAAATAAGAATGAAAAATCTTTGGTTCTTACTATCCTATTTTTACAAATTAAATGTAGAATATAACTGAACTTTGGTTAGTTCATATCTTTTTTTGACAACATTTTAGTCTCGTCTTTATCTGTCAAAATAAAGCCACTCTGGTGTCTAATAATATTCATGTCATGCTGTTTTCTAAGTCTATTTTGGAAAAATAAAAGTCACCAATGAACATTTTTCACTCTTATTTTTGTTGAATTTGCATTTATTAGATTTCTGAAAAAATCTATTTTATTTAAAGTGTAATAATAAAAATGTGTAATAATAGTATTCCATACAAAGTACTAAGCTAATCAGTCAATTCTAGTCACATGACATGTGACCTGACGTGTGCTGTGCTCGCAGCATTCTGTAAAGTTAAGTAAAATAAAAATAAAAGATTTTTTTCGAAAAATAAAAGATTTAAAAGATGGAAATTAAATAATGATTTCTTGTGTGGCATGATACCAACTGATCCACGGACCTGGTATTGGTCTGCAGCCCAGAGGTTGGGGACCACTGTTGTATACAATATTACTGCTATACTACTATATTATATTATTAATGCATTGATCTTCTGTTGATCACATTTGCAACAGTTTTTTTTATGCAGTAAAGTACAAAATATAATAATGTACAAAATGCATGAGCTTGTGTTTGCAGTCGTCTGCATTAGCATGCATATACATAAATGGACATCAGTGGAGTGAAATATAAATAGTAAGTGTGGTGTTGTTACTTGTTATTATTAACTGTTTTCTATTATAATGCATTTGAAATATATTCCTGTAATGGTAGAGTGCCATGTAGTTCTATAGAAACCATTTTAATATGATGACTTGATGCTCAATAGACATTTCTTTTTATCCCGTTTGAAAAGAACTGCTTCATTGTTTTAATAGTGCAAACTGATTACAACAGACCAAATTAGTTTTCTTTCTTTTTTTTAAACCTCTTTTTAAACTGGTTTTTATTTGTTATAATTCATTGTTGTTTTTATTTTTTATACTTATCGTGTGATTATGTTCAGATTCTTTTGATATCGTTTATATAAAGGACTTTGAATAATCATTGTGTATGAAATGTGCTATTAAAATAAATTTGCCTTGCCTTGCCTTGAAGTTCACCAAATGAACCGCTGTCTGTTCTGAAGACAGTAGCAACTGTGGAATTCTCATGTTTCACTGCAAAATTCCATAGCAACCAAAAGAACCCTTCAACTGCAACATCACCACGTCAAAGGTAGACAGGAAAAAGAGAGAAAAAAGAAAAAGAGAGAGAGTCAAACTAAATAAACAGGAGCAGCTTTATACGCCTAAGCAAATGAAAAATGGAGCTGATCTGAAATAATAGTTGTTTAAAGAACCAAATATGTTTCCAGCTGGAACACTTGCAGTAATTTCCCTCTAAATATGTCAAAACAGTTTTGGAATTGCATTTTGATGTAATCATCCATTAGTGTCTAGCGTCTACAAGTATTACCAGTCAAAGGCTTTGATGGATGTTTCGGCGTCTCGCGGTACTCAACCTTCAATTCAGCTGGCATCCAATTTGGAAGCACACATTTTTCACTGTTTCTTTCATCTGGAAGATAAATGACATCCGCAGCCTCAGAGAATATACATCATGCATTGTTGAAAAGCAAACTCGGTCCTCGCTGTCTGCTTGCATCATGGTTGCGTTTTGAAGAGGACATTGAGTGTGTGTGTGTGTGTGTGTGTGTGTGTGTGTGTGTGTGTGTGTGTGTGTGTGTGTGTGTGTGTGTGTGTGTGTGTGTGTGTGTGTGTGTGTGTGTGTCAGCACTGAGTGGCACAAGAAGGTTTCATGCTTTATTTTGACTTCTACTTCATGTCTTGTAGTTTGATTGACTGCTCCGTTGTTTTCAGTGGGATGGACTTCATCTGATTGTGGCACTGTTATATGAAAAGCAGTTTTTTTTTCTGTTAGAGCTAATATACACACATTTCTGTCCACAAATATGATGGGTATTCATTAAGAATGTTATGGTATTTGGTGGTTTCTGAAGTCTGTACTGTAATACTACTTATTTAATGGCATGTTTTTCATGTCTATGAAAAACATAGAAGAAAATTCACTGCTGCAACACTTAAGTCACAATTCATGCTATTAACTACTTGCTTATTACCTGCATATTAGTATGATACTAACTGTGCATTAGTAGTTATAATGGATGATCTCATTCTTGCTCCCTAATCCTACCCCAATCCTAAAACCGACTTCTACCTTACTAATTATTAATAAACAGCTAATTAGTATATTAAGTTAGTTTATTAAGCTAGTATTGTTAGTTAGTGGTTTGTTAATACTGTGAATTGTGACAAGTGTTTCCTGAACTGCCGTTTTTTGATAGGACATTATTCTTTTACTCCATGAATTTTTTTTCTCTGTAGTGTATTTCTGAATATAATGTCATCACTTGAGGAATTGCTTATAGAGATTTTTTAAAAATGTATTCAAATGACCACTTTTTTCTTTTATAATTAATACATTGGCATCACGGTGGCGCAGTGGGTAGCACGATCATCTCACATCAAGAAGGTCGCTGGTTCGAGCCTCAGCTTGGTCAATTGGCATTTCTTTGTGGAGTTTGCATGTTCTCCCTGTGTTTGCGTGGGTTTCCTCCGGGTGCTCCGGTTTCCCCCACAATCCAAAGACATGCGCTATAGGTGAATTGAATGAGCTAAATTGGCCGTAGTGTATGTGTGTGAATGCAAGAGTCTATGGGTGTTTTCCAGTAATAGGTTGTGGCTGGAAGGGTATCTGCTGTGTAAAATGTGCTGGATTAGTTGGCGGTAAAAAAGTGAATGAAAGCCGAACAGAAAATGAATGAGTGAATGAAGTAATATATGATGTGATGAATGACTTCATGTATTATGATGAATAGCAACTTTTTTTTTCTCTCTATTAAAAAGTTCTGATTTTGAGTAAAGCTGTGGACCCTAACAGACTTTCTTTCATTCTTTTTTTAGTTACTTAGACAGTTTAGATCGAATCGGAGCTGCAGATTACCAGCCCACAGAGCAGGACATTCTGCGAACTCGAGTGAAGACCACCGGGATTGTAGAAACCCACTTCACCTTCAAGAACCTGCATTTCAGGTGAGACCATTCATTAGTGGTGTAACGGATCACAAAACTCACGGTTCGGATCAAATAATGGGTTTTAGTCACAGATCGGACCATTTTTCGAATCAGCCAAAAAGGGGAGGAGACAAATGTAATTAGCTTTCCATTTATTACAAAAACAGTACTGCAAGACACTTTTGGTTTTAACAAACAGAACTTAGAACCTGTAATTTTATTAAAAATAAAATGAAGAAATAATCAGCTAAATAAAAGTAAATTATTATTATTATTATTATTAAAATATTTAGTACTGTGAAAAATTCACTGTTACTACCATACCTGCAAACACTCCCTTTTTTCCTTGGAGTTTCCCGTATTTCAGGCCATCTTCCGCCACCTTCCTGTTATGTTATTTCTCCCAGAAAGCTCCCATAATTTCAACCAAACCCCCAACCTGTGCTTCACCTGTTTCATTGCTAGATGAATCATTTTGAAAGAATTATTCAGTGGCATATATTTGATGACTGGTTGTAAATTAATAATGTAAATAATGTAATTGCTGCCTACAACTTTTATTTTTGAGCTTTGTTAAATCCATATGAAGGGGATTTTAAACTTTACCATAAACATCAGTGGTTCTATCGAAACTGTAAACTATTATTCAAGTACCTCTGTGTTATTTGACTGTTTGTAACCTCATAACTAACTAAAAAAAAAACAAAAAAATAAAGACTGAATCTCTTAGGATTAATAAACATATGCAAATCACCGTCATTTATTATTTATGGTGTGTGGGTGTTGAGATCCCGATCTTTTAATGATTATTGTGCAGCTTATACTGAATGCATTGATGAAGGCTACACAAGTAGTGACAGAAAACACCTTTAATGAAACCCACCACATCCGAATAACCTACCACAACTTCTTCCGTCATCATTATATTTTACAGTTAAGCCTAAATGCTTTCATACGTGTGAATTGAATGTCAAGAGAGGCGATCTTTCTTAGATCGTACAAATTTAGGATTAATCCACCAGTAAAAAAAAAAGAGTATTACCTTGCGGGCCACATTTGTTCCGAACCATAGCTTGTGATCTATACGTACCTATACGGATCTATACTATGCGTTACACCCCTATTATTCATGCATCTGAATGTTCAGTCTTGTATCAGCTGTTAGAGTACTACAGTTATTATAATTTTAACTCCATTCATTTAAAGTTATTATCCTACTGTTATCATTTTCATTCCTATTCTAACAGAAGAAGAAGAAGTAGAAGAAGAAATAAAACGTTTTATCTAATATGTATACTCAGGCTCTTTTTAACAAAAAGTGTTTTAACTCATTACAACTGGAGAGCATAGAGAGATGAATATCTCTAAACATCCTCTCACCTCATATCATCTCCTCATTCACAGTGCTTTTTTTCACTCTCTCAGCTGATAGCACGTGAAAATAGAGGACTAAAATAAAAAGTGTTGATGGGGGTTAGACAGGCAGAGCTGCCACCATTATTCTGAAGACAGATTTAGCTGCACGCCATCCTGTTACGGGCTGAAGCTAGCATTTTCACAGAGAAGGGCTGGACGTCAGTAGACAGCTGAATTACATGGTATGAAGCTGATACTACCATCTAAATGCCAGTTTTGCTACTTAGTGAAAATCATTACGTGTTTGAGATTTTGGGCTGATGAAGCATATAATGAAACGAGTCATAAAATATGTAGGTTTTGAGTTCATTGATAAGCATGTTGCTTTTGGAAACATTTTTTTGAAAGAAAATGCATGTTAGTTGAGCAAGGGGACATAAATTAAGGCACACTGATTTTGGTTTTTGACTCATACTGATAACTCTTAAAATGTTGAAGCCAATCACTGATATATACAGATAAATTCAAATCTTAATATGATTTTTTAAAGTCTGAGCATAAAAACAAATCTCAAACTAATACAGTGTATAACTGCTTTAATTTGAACTGTTTACAATAACTCTTAAAATGTTGAAGCCAATAACTGATAAATACCAATAATGCAAAATTTGATATGAACATTTTTGAGCCTGATTTTTCAAAAAAAAAAAAAAAAACACAAACTAATACAGTGTACGGAGTATCACTTCTTTTGTTAAAAAAAATAAAAATAAAATAAAAATAAAATATATATATATATATATATATATATATATATATATATATATGCAACTATGCAACTATACTATAACTGTTCTCAAAATCATTTACATATTGCACTTGATTTGATTTATTTGTTTTAAACAGAATATTATAAACTTAAAACAATTCTTCAAACAAAATACACTTCACCCTTATCAACAAAAAGATTTACTTATCCATGTACAATATCTGTCCTGAATTCTGAAGTCCTTTTCGCATGTGTTGTAAACGCATCAATACACAAATGATGTAAATTAACATGGCTGAAATTATTTATAATTTATCCGCTGATATTTTTTTCTTTATAGGTAGATGATAATAATATTAAAAATAAGTATTTATTAGCTGATACCGATATGGCCTCCAATAAACAAGCATGACAACATAAGACTTTTAATGCTTTTGAAGAACTCTTCAATGCTCATTAAGTCTATATTGATTTAATCAAATTTTGAAATATATTTTTTTTAATTGATAAATTTTAAAATGCATTTAATTTCAAAATTATTATTATTATTATTATCAGTGTTGAAAACAGTTATGCTGCTTGAATTGATCCATGATGCATTGTATTCTTTGATTGATCACATTTTAAAATACAAATCTTTTTTTTTTTTTTAAGATTTGTGTTTATTAAACATTCAATAATGTTTATAAAATTGTCCATTTTTTTTATCTTTTATATTTTATGTATGTCTTTACCGTCATGTTTGATCGATGTAATGCATCTTTGCTGAATAATTTATTTATTTTAAATATTGAGCTTAAACCATTGTGTACAGTATGTTGCATACATGAAGCTGTGCATCAGTGTGAGATTGCTGAGCTCATGTCGAGTTGTGTCCATTCAGGCTGTTTGATGTGGGAGGTCAGAGGTCGGAGAGGAAGAAATGGATCCACTGCTTTGAGGACGTGACCGCCATTATCTTCTGTGTGGCTCTGAGTGGATACGACCAGGTGCTCCATGAAGACGAGACCACGGTGAGCACTAAACACACACTCATACACGCGCATCTGTGCTTGACACATACTCAATTCTTACCAGCAGGCTGTGCACACTTAACACACTAACACAAATGATGCAGGGGTTTTTCAACATGTTTTCTAATGCTTTGTGGTCACAAATGCTTAATGTATTAATAAAGAATGCATTGTTGGACAGAACTCAATGCTTTGTTGATCAGAGTTATCTTTCAAATGAACATTATCATAGCATGCTGTGATCAACTGCGGCTTTTTAAAAAAAGTAGAGCCCCAGAAGCGGGTTTTAGACATTTTTAAGGTCAATGCCTTTGATAAATCAACCTACGCTGTGAACTCACACATGAATTGACACATTAGGTAATGCTTTACGTATCATATTGTGCTTGCTTGTGTATTTAATACAAAACATAGCCTTTAACCCTAATACGAAAAAGAATACTAGTTTGTTGAAGTTCTTTTATTTACTATTTCAAACTACTCATTACTAATCAATATATTGTAAATCATAATACCAGTTTTATACTGGAAAAACATGTTTATTCTAATCACAAGGTTTATGCAGAAAGAAATGTAGGACGTATATTGTTTTTGATCTAAGTTTCAATATTTCAAGCAGTCTTATGAAATGTGTTAGCTCTTAAAAATATATATTATTGATGTTTTGTATTAATTCCAGTATTATCAGCATACTGTTTAGAAAGCCTGTTGGATATGAGCTGTTAAAAAGCATGCTGTAAAATGTGGGAGGCTATTTGAAGTTTGAATCATGGGTCATGTTTTAATTTCCCTGACATGGTACTGAATTTAAGCAAATTTCAATTAAAAACAAAACAATTTAATAATTATGTAGATAAGTGTGATAATGGCATCGTACTGTAGGTGTCATGTCTGTGTTGAAATAATTATGCAGTGCTAACTAGCTACAGGCATAAAGGTTTTTTGGATTCCAACATGGGAATGTGAATAAGATGTCAAACCATTTTCTATTTTATTTTCTGATTATTAGTAATTTGCTGCTTTTTGAAGTCTGGATATATTTTGTGTTTGTGGTAGCCATAACTTGACAGTGTTTTAACATTTACCTTACAAAAAGATTCTAGTATTTAAATAGGTTAGATGTTTTATGAAGCTTGTACTTGAAGTGCTGTATTAAGGTATCTTTACAATTAGGCATGGGACGATAACCGTTTTCAAGGTATACTGTGTTTTGGAAAAGTCAAGGTATTAAAACCGGCAATATTTTCTGCTGTTTTTAGAATACTGTTTTTAGGGCAACAATATCTCTAGCAGAAAAGATATCCATTTTAGAAAAGATGCCGTTTTAAATTGTAAAGAAATCTGTGTTTTTGAAACTAATGAAGACAGCAGAAGTCAATGATTTTTGAAATTATTAAGCCTGATATGTTTACTGCTCCAAAATATTTTAAATGTTTCTCAAAATAAAAGATATTGTGTTCAAAGGGGGATTTTTTTTTGTTTTTTACCAAGACATTTAAGAGAACATATTTTAGAGCATTAGTTGCAAAACCTTGAAACTGATATTTTTATCCAAGGTTATCAAACAGTCAGAATCTCATAGTGGATCATGCTTAATTACATTGCATGCATTGTCCCTTATATGAACCAGTGAACAGCCAACCTAGTAAGCAATAAGCTAAACATAAGAATTTCTCCCTATACTAAAAATGTAAAGCGTTATATGTTCAAAAGACAACCATAAAAAACTGTAAGATACCACAATACTGTTCAATACTGAAATGTTGATGAAATCATAATATTAAAAAAAAATAATATATATATATATATATATATATATATATATATATATATATATATATATATATATATATATATATATATATATATATATGAATTATTTTATTATTATTTGTATGTTATAATATTTTATTGATATTTTAAACCTTTTGAATTTGTTTGCTTTCTGTTATTGTCATTTTGATATTACAGTTTTACATGTTTTAAATAGTTTTTTTGTTTTTTACTTTTCATATTTATTTTATTTTAATTTCATTAAGTTATTTTGTTTATTTCTGTGCTTTAAATATTTAACTTTATTTGTATGTCTTAGTGGTTTGTTTATTTGTTTCATATTTTGTCTTTTCATATTAAATGTTTTTGTTTTTATATTTGTTACTTTAATTTTCATTGTTTAGTTAAATCGAGGTCCTGACTCTCTGTGGTTATTTGAAAATCCCATGGCACTTCTCGTGAAAGAGCAGGGGTGTAACCCCGGTGTCCTGGCCAAACTCCCTCTATCAGCCCTTACGATCATGGCCTCCCAATCATCCCCTTCCACCGAATTGACTGTATCACTGTCTCTTCACTCCACCAATAGCTGGTGTGTGGTGAGCGCACTGGCGCCGTTGTCCTGTGGCAGCCGTCGTATCATCCAAGTGGATGCTGCACACTGGTGATGGTGTGGAGAGACCCCCCCTCATGATTGTGAAGCGCTTTGGGTGTATGGCCATACACAATAAATGCGTTATATAACATTACATTACATTTACATTACATTACATTACAAAAAAAATAATTTGCATGTATAGAGCTCTGCATAATTGAGTACACCCCATGTTGAAAATTTGTGTTTTTATCCATTTCTCAATGAATATAGGCAATGTATTTTGGTGCATTTAAACAGAATAATTAAAGTTATATTTATTAAAATAATATTTTAGTCACCAAACATATGTAGAAATTAAAAGATAATACAATTAAATTTAAGTAAATATTGCAACAAAAAAAATTGCAACCTACAAATTTTCAAAATTTTTCTTTTATTTTGCTTCCTGGTTTTTCCTCTTTTTTAAATGTGTATTTAGTATTGTTCTATAATTTATAAATTTAGGTGTACTAGTTTTTGGACCATTTTCATAAGCTATTTTCTTAGATAAGCTTCATATTTTGGCTTCAGTACTGACTAATCTAATGTATATGCACAAATATAATATTGGATAGCTTCCTATTAAAAATGTGAATTTAAAAGATAGGTTTGTGAGGGGTGTACTTATATATGCTGAGCACTGTATTTCTTATTTTAAATATCCAATCAGTCCTTGAAAATACAGTATTTTAATTATTAAAATAAAAATTTAGATTTTGTTGTTTTCTTCAGATATTAATGCATGTTGTTGTATATTTTTAAATCTTTTTTTAGATATTTATGTCAACATTATAACTTAGGTTGATACAATTCTGGATAACAAATGTCACATCTTAGCCTTGTTTATTAGCCATTGTGCATACATGTAATGCAGTTTTATAATGCAAAGGCCATTTAATCTCTACAGGGAAATTTTTAACAATTATCACCTTGCAAATGTGAATGCATACTTAATATAGCAAAGTACACAAATTTCAAAGTTATTTGAACACTTTTACAATGTCTTTTAAAAAAGAAAAACTAAGAATTATTTATGTCCACACACTATTGATTGACTTTGAGTGTGGGTTGAATGATGGCAGGTGAGATGAGTCATGTTTGGACCTCAGATCTGCCCAGACACACACACACACTCAACAAACTCTGATAAGACCAGTTTTACAACATTACAGGGATTTACGGTGAGGTGTTTTGGACATAGGAGGGCTTTTACGGCTAGAAAAGCGGGCGATCGTAAATACAGCAACTATTACAGCAACGCCATATTTGGCTGATCTATGGAAGCGATAAAAGAGAAGACAGAATCTACTGTGGTGTATAAGAAAGTCCTTAAGAAACAGACGGATGGAGATAAACACACTTACAGATGCTATGAATACACGCCGCCCGTGTCTCCTGTCACTGCTCGTCCATTCAGCGCTCTATCAGTGTTTACGCATTTGACATTCTGTCCAGACATTCCCTCCTCTGCACCCTGTGGCCTTTTCTTCTCCGTTTCAACACAAATATGCATTTATTTCCTTCAAACACTGTGCATTTCTTCAAGTTGGACCTGTCCATGTGAGACTATGTGAGTGACTCTTTATTAGTGACTAGAGATGCACGATATTGAATGTTTTGCTGATATCCGATAAGCTGACATTTTATAATTAATTTATGCCAATAGACTATTCTGATGTCTTTGTGCGTTTTATTTAAAAGTCTGAATTTACAATTGATTATAAATAGTAGCTTCAAATCACTAATTTTACATCCAGATGGCAACGATCATGTTTTATTTTTCCTTTTGGAGATTCTAATAGTTTTTTGTCCATACATGTATTGTTTTAAGAAATGTCTGCATCCAAATGCAAAACACTGTAATACATTTAGAACACCAACATTCCTGACAAAAGTCTTGTCGTTGATCCCAGTTGTAAGAGCAAAAAATAATAACTTGACTTGTAGCTGATCATTTGGAAAGGTCGCAGAAGGCAGGTTTTTTTTTAATGAGTCATCTGTTGAACTGCATCTCAATCATCAAAAATACAGCAGAAGACCTATTGGAACCTGTTTGGACCCAAGGTTTTTACAAAAATCAGTCAAGTTTGGTGAAAGAAAAATCATGGTTTGGGGTTACATTCAGTATGGGGCTGTGCGAACAATCTGCAGAGTGGCTGCAACATCAGCAGCCTGAGGTATCAAGACATTTGTGCTGCTCATTACATTACAAACCACAGGAAAGGGCAAATTCTTCCGCAGGACTCAATTCAATTCAATTCAATTTCATTTATAAAGCACTTTAAAACAACACAGTTGACCAAAGTGCTGACAATAGAGACTAAAACAAAGTGTAGCACATACTTTAAAAGAGAAACAAATAAACATAAAATGTCAACATCTCACGCTTCGCTAAAAGCCAAATTGAACAAGTGTGTTTTAAGGAGAGATTAATAGAACAGTAATGGAAAAAGCTTGTCTAATATACATCGGCAGCTCATTCCACAATTTTGGTGCAGCCACAGCAAAAGCCCGATGCCCTCTGAGCTTTCGACTTGTCCTGGGCACACCCAGGAGGAGCTGGTCGGCTTACCTGAGCAAACAAGAAGGTGTG